TATCAGGCCCCTGGTCACCCCCCGGCGTGTCTGTGCCCCCCTCCCCACCCGGCGCGGCGGCACATGGCAGCACCGCCCCAGCAACGCTCCCGTTCACAGACCTGCGACGGACGCGGCGATTGCACCCCGTCGGAGCAGCACACGACAGTGCATCCCAGATCCTTTGCAGCGACAGGCACACCTCCTCCAATCCCCCCCCTCCTAGTTCACATTTGCAGAGACTCGTCCTGGAAAAAGCTCCGACTGCGGCAGTCGTGGCCCAGGGCCGCAGGGAGACCGTCTGCTTGCAACTGGAATGATCGTAACGGATTAAAGCCCTCCCCAGAACGCACTGAGAACCTGACCTATAAAGAGAGCTTTGGGATTGGAGTTAAACTTCCCCCAATGTTTTCTTTAAACTGCTTTCGTATTCAAAATGACGTCCGTACTGCATGAGTGACTATGGCCATGGGCACGGACAAGAGACAGAGGCTGCACCACAGTCATTGCACTTGAACCATTTGCTTTTTTTCCTTTTCTTCTTTTTTTTTCTTTTTTTTTTTTTTTTTTTTTTCAATGTCCCCACTTGCAATGTACCCAGGCATCAGGGAACAGCTTTGCTACAGTCTCTGCCTCAGAGAAATCTGTGTTCTCCTACAAGGCCAGAGGCCAATACTGCTCACAAATCTCACCCGTGCATTTCAGACCTTAGCCTCTGACCCCTGGCACCCCAGCATCAGGTGCAAGCTCCCAACACTGGCCCAGGAGCCACTTCCAGAGATGCCTGGAAGGAGCTATGGGCAGTTTTGTCCTCCTGGAGTCCAGGCAGCCCTAGGAAAGTCCTGTTTGAGTCTTTACTCCAGAACCTTGAAGCTGCTGAAGTCTGTACTGATGGACACTGCTTCCCCCACGGTGCGGATAGTGTTGTGCATTGGAAATCACTGCCCCCCGAGAGCCCTGGTAGAGAACAGACTGCCCAGAATTTGGTAGACTGATAGTCCGCAAGTCTGACTGTAGTGACCTAGCGCTTTGGGGAGCAGAGGTCGAGCCCGATGTGCCTGTGCAGGGCTGGGAGCCCGACTCAGAGGAAAGAGAGTCCACAGCTGTCTGCTGTGCTGGGCTGGCAGCAGCGGGGCAGCTCTTCTTCAGGAGGCTGCTGCCGCCCCTGCCAGAGTGCTGCTGGCTGGTGTAATAACACGCATTCC